TTTACAGCACCTCGCTTGTTTAACTAAAACTGTCAAATAAATGTAGTGGAGTAGAAAGTACAATATATACCTCTGAAATGTTGGAGTGGAAGTACAGCATTAAATGGAAATACTCAAAGTACAAGTACCTCAAAATTGAAGTGCAATACTTTCATAAATGAACTTAATTACATTTAACCACTGCTTAAATAACCACTTGGCCTTCAGCACACATAGATTTTAATAGAGCAATAGGGATCAACAGATTTTCAACAGATTTTTCAGGGCTGATTCCGATTATTAGTAATCAAAGAGACAGAAATATTCTGAACTGATGCCAACACAAAGCCACTGCTACATAAAGACACTCGCCATGGCTTTAAGTTTCTATTATTTTCTATTATTTTGTCCAACCCATTTATATCAACAAAGATAGGCTGAATAACAGAAACACCTGTATAAACAGTATAATCTTCATGAAGGGCGATTTATTACAGGGCTGTTGTTTTAGACTAAATCAGTTTTAGCTAGATGTTCCTAATAAATTGTCAACTGGGTGTACATTAATAATCATCAGCTGTATGCAAAGAGCCTGACTGGAATGAACTGATTGCTCTTGGTGCTGTTTTCACCTGGGAACTGATACTGGCTCCCTGGCAGCCTAAAGATGTTGTTTAATACTTTTATCATATATTATTATTATTAGCTATTTTGACCAATTAGGTCAAATATTTTTTTTTGTAGGGTATGAATAAAAATTTGATAATGTATGGTAAAGTTTTATTATTATGCTGGTGTTGATTGTTGGGGACCGGGCGAGGTTTAAAATTCTGATTGTGCATCACACCCTTAGAAAAAGACTGTTGGACACATTAGGAACAGGGGCGCTGATTCTAGTGTTGTTGGGTTGGTTAGAATCGCATAGTTAGGCTCTTTGTTGGCGCCTGTTCCCCTACTTCAGTTATCCTCTTGCCTTGTTTGTATTTATGTTTACTTATTTACCCTCCTGGTTACGCAATAAATTAAATCAGTAAATTTGATTTAGCAATAACTTCACTGTCACAAGACAAGTCTGCATCATAAAGAGGTGGATGAATCTTATTTAGTAACAAGTATAAATTATAGTAGAGATGTAAAATAATACTTCATAGCTCAGTGAGGACAGAGCAACAGTCTGACAGCTTGACTGTTGTGTGATAAACCATTGTCCTGCTTTCCTCCCAGTGCATGCTGGGATACATTCCAGTACTTCAAACTTTTTTAGTTTGATGTTTGAATGTTTGATGTGATGAAGAAAAGTTTGACACATTTCATCCAGAATCACAAAGTTTGAATGTAGAAGTCACATAAATATAAAACTAATAAGATTCACCCTGAAATTACAGAGAATCTTTAAATTGTTCGTATGGACATTAACCTTTAAAATAACGAGCTACATTTTTAATTACAGATAATTACTGTCATTTTACACAGATTTGTTTGTATTTTAAGAAAGCAGAAAAAATAAAGTATAAATAACACAGTTATTTGTCTTAAAATAAAAAAATGTAATTCATTATTATTATTATTACATTTATTTACATTATTATTATTGGCATGATGCTTCAAATAGAAGTTTGGCTGTTAATTCACATCATTTCTGTCATTTTACAGACTTTTCTTCACAATTTTAAAAAACAGGAAATTACTGTTAGAAAACTTTGTTATTTTCTGTAAAATTAGTTGTTTTTTTTTACAGTGCACAGAAACAGAGTCTGTGGTGTCACAGCCGATCATCATCTAATTAAGTATATATATTTTTTTTGGGGCTTTTATGCCTTTAATGGACAGCACAGTGGAGAGTGACAGGAAACGGGGAGGCAGAGAGAGGGGGAATGACATGCAGTGAAAGGCCGTCCGATGCGGGATTCGAACCGGGGCCAACTGCAGCGAGGACTGTAGCCTCTACACATGGGGCGCCTGCTTAGACCACTACGCTACACGACGCCCATCATCATCTAATTAAACTTTATTTTAGTTTGAGGATAAAACCTAAAATATTAATATTTCTAATGCATGTACAAAGGCTTGGGATAATAATAAGATAATTAACATAAAAAAACACACCCAAACGCTCCCACACACCTCTTCTCTGTGACAGGTGTACAACAGTAACAGGAAGTAAAACTAATGAACAGCCGGTCCTGGGTCTGAGTGAGGTCACTACAGGTAAGGAGTTCCTGCAGCTGGTTTCACATCACGTCACTGATACAGGAGCAGAGAAGAAGAAGAGACAGTCAGCAGGTAAACACAGATGTAAGAATTATTATATGTATGTTGTTGTAATAAACTTAACTATAAATCATGTACATATGGTTGCAACATGTTATATCATATAAAGATTCATTATATATTATTCATTTTTAATGTCTGTACATCTACAGATTTTACTATGGGTTCTTCATGCTATAAACATGTATCTTCATGTATCCAAAGACAGATCCATAGATATAGATAACTTACAGAAATGCACATTTTAACCATCTTTTCCTCGACCTGATCAGGTAGTTTTGGCGCCTAAACCCGGTCCACGACCTTAACCATGTGTTTGTTATTGTTACCATGGCGATGAAGGTGCAGTACACCTGCTGTCACCCGGGGTCAGGACAGACGACCTGTGTGGTCGTGTGGCAGTACAAACATGGCGTCTGTCCCCGGCCAGCAGCAGCAGACCGTGATGACGTCAGTCTGAATATTTTCATCAACATCTGAAAACTGATTTCATTTGATTCTCATTCATGACTTTCTGCAGAAATGTCACGGCTGCTGATCCACTGAAGACCCGGCTCCTGTTCCCTGCTCGTGATGTTCGCCTCCAAATGTCACCTGAGCTGATGGACGTCAGCCCCCCCCCCCCCCCCCCCCCCCGCTCCTTTGATGGGAGTCGTTTGGCGTTGCAGGCGGAGGAGACGTAGGGAGGTATCACCTGAGATCTGCTCATAAAGCTGCTTCAGAGTCAGAACAAAGCAGCCGGAGCCGCCGCCGCCTCTCCGCTCTTTCATTTCCTGTGCTGCAGGAAATTGTGTGAGCAGACGGCTGATAGCCGCCGCCTCCGGCCGCTGCTTATCACGCAGCCATCACAGGCTTTTATTGAAGAGGAGCTGCTTTGTGTGGAAGGAGGCACGACTGTCATTCACTCTGCTCCACCTGCTCACAGCCGACTCAGTGAAGCGAGGAGGAGAGCCGCCACGTGACTGCTCAGCCTGTTTACCTGCTGCAGTCACACCTGACAACAAACCATTCAATTCAACTTTATTTGCTTAGCGCCAAATCATAATATACATTATCTCACAGCACGTCACAGGGTGAGGTCGAACCTGTCCACACAGAGAGATTCATAGAAAAACTAAGAGGATTAAAGCTCCATAGATCAGTGTTCCCAACATGTTCTGACTCATGACCAAATCTGCTAAATGTTGGCGGCCCACACCACACCCGTAACAGTACAAGTCCAGGACTTGGTCCAGCCAAAGACTTAAAAGATGATTGGCTTGTGATACTTCTCACAGTGGTGGGCCTTATTAGAGAAAAAAAAGAAAAAGACAGGATTTAAAAACAATTTAAAGTTGGTAAAGATCATTTAGATGTAAGATATTTAAAAACATAATTTCTTTTTGTCAGCCCACCAGAAGGCCCCAGACCATAGGTTGGGAACTGGTATACAGGTCTGTGTCCATGTGCAGTGTGATTATAGATCAGCTCTAGCTTCTATATTAATACTGTGAAAGTATCAAAGCCTCAGTCCACAGAGAAATGCACACAGCCTGTATTCAGAAACTGAGCCTTAAAACCAGCCGTCAGGACTTCTGAAACTTTGTGATGTCACAACAAACATATTTACTTCCTCTGTGTTTTATTTGAAGTGTTGATCCATCAGAAGATATAAAAACCATCTCAGTGTAGTTTCACATCTCCTCTCTCAGGCTTCTCTCTGGAGCTCTAGTAACAACAGGTCTGTGAGCCAATCAGAAGAGAGGAGGCTCTGAGCCTCTCTTCTGATTGGCTGACTGTTTTCTGAGTGATCCAATAAAAATAAAGCAGATTTCAGGTAAAAACACTCAGAGAAACCAAATCCTGCAAGGTTTGGATGGTGGGTCCAGATGGGCGGGGCTTGGTGACTGCTTTGTTGTGACATCACAAAGTTCCAGAAAAACCTTTAGACTGGATGCAGCTTTAAACTTTGTGTTCCATGTTTGCAGAATGAAATCTACAAAGAAAAGAGAACTGCAGGACCACCATGTTTTATCAAAGGCTCTTGATCTGGATCAGGATCAGATCTGGATCAGGATCAGAATCGGGTTCAGAATATGGATCAGGATCTGAATCTGGATCAGGATCAGTATCAAAACTGGATCAGGATCATAATCAGAATCTGGATCAGGATCAGAATCTGAATCTGAATCAGGATCAGATCTGGATCAAGATCTGAATCTGGATCAGGATCAGAATCAGAATCAGAATTGGGTTCAGAAATGGATCAGGATCTGAATCAGGATCTGAATCTGGATCAGGATCAGAATCAGAATCGGGTTCAGAAATGGATCAGGATCTGAATCTGGATCAGGATCAGTATCTGGACAGCAATCAGAATCTGAATCAGGATCAGAATCGGGTTCAGAATATGGATCAGGATCTGAATCTGGATCAGGATCAGTATCAAAACTGGATCAGGATCATAATCAGAATCTGGATCAGGATCAGGATCTGAATCTGGATCAGGATCAGAATCGGGTTCAGAATATGGATCAGGATCTGAATCTGAATCTGAATCTGAATCTGAATCAGGATCAGATCTGGATCAGGAAGGTCCAGCTCAGACTGCTGCAGGTCTGCTGAGGGCGGAGCTTTATCTCCCTCTGCTTCATACAAACATCATCATCACCTCCCCTCCCCCTCCCCTCCTGTGTCAATATATAACCAGGGGCGGGCCGGCGTTGGGCCGACAGACCGTCTGTGAGCGTCAGTGTGAGGAGCAGCGCAGCAGACTCAGCAGGCTGGAGCCCTGGTACTCGTACACCCACTGGTTCCCCATGGCCTCGTCCCATGTGATGAAGGACCTGGAGCCAGTTCCCAGGATGCAGCCCGCCATGATGATGTTCTCCAGCAAGTACTGGGCCAGGAGGGGGCTGTCGCTGGACTCGGCCATGTTCGACCACCAGCAGCAACGCCACACTGGGGGGCAGATGGTAAGAAGTCCTCCTCTTCGTCCTCCTCCTCCTCCTCCTCCTCTCTGATCTCAGCAGCTGATCTCTGGTGGTTCTGGTTCCTGGAGGTTTTCCTGAGCCTGTGGTTCTACAGTCAGTTGATGAGTCAGGTCCCAGTAGAACAGACTGACAGAAACTGTCTTCATCTGACTTTATATCCACTCACAGATTCAGAGCTGCAGCGATGAATAAATCATTTTATCTGAGATCCAGATCCAGTGATGAGATCTAATCTTTTTACTTTCTCTCTGACGTTTCATCGACCAAACAACTGATCGATTAATCAGGTAATTAATCAAAAGATGAATCAATAATGAAAAAGCACTTTGTACAAAATAAATAAAAATATGAAATGGAATAATGATATAAACGAATGTTTGAAATATTAATTTTGTTTGATAAATTGTTAAAATTGATAAAATTGTTGATAATCAGTTCGTTCAGAATCAGATGGTTTTTAATTCTAAATGAAAAACTGATATTTTCATCAGCTGCAGATGACGAGCAGGGAAATAAATGAATCAATAAATGGATGTAAATTTTCCTTCCTGCAGTCGAGGGAAAAATCCCTTTAAAGATTAAACAGAAAATACAATTCATCTTAAACCGTCATGTTTCATTTCAAATCATTTATTCAAGAGGAAGAAAGACGGATTGATTGATTTCTTTATTTGTAGAAAGTAACAGAAAATAAGTGTATTCAGTATTAAAGAGCTTTTCAGTCCAGATCTCTGTAGACCACAAACACCCAGCTGATCTGAGACCTGAACCAGCAGAACCTCAGAACCTGAACCAGCAGAACCTCAGAACCTGAACCAGCAGAACCGTCCCCCTGTTGAACCAGGATCGGGATCAGCTGATGGAGGACGACAGTTTCATGTGGAGCTTGTTGTTGTTGTTGTTGTTGTTGTTGTTGTTGTTGTTGTTGTTGTTGTTGTTTGTGGCTCCGGGAGAAAAGCAGCAGCTGGTTCTCGTCACATCTTTATTATTTCATGTCACATTATTGTGAGTTTATCTTTTCTATAGAACTGAAGATCAGTGAGTCTCCATCATCAGCTACACACACACACACACACACACAACGCCGCGCACAACACACACCACGCACACACACACACACACACACACACACACGCACACACACACACACACACACACGGCAGCAGCTGTTGACTGATGATATCTGCCTGTTATTTATTCACACACATCAAACAGATAGTCTGTATATGGTTTTCATGCAGGAGAGATAACTAATAAAAATGACATCAAACAAAAAGAGAGAAAGAGAGAAACATACACAGTGGGACGGAAACAGATTAAAATGAATCAAACGAACCAAAACCCTGATGATCGTCTGAGAGTTTATTAATGCTTCTTTTAAAACAGGAAGTAAGGCTGAGGTGTCCACCAGGTGTACGTTGGTATAAGTTGGCGTTCCACGGTTCTACACGTCTCGATTTTGCTGATGATAAAGATGGTAAAAAAATCCTGTAAAACCTGAAACAACAGTTAAAATTTAAATTTCACCATCTGTTGATGATGTAATGACAAACATGAAAATGAAACATCTGCCTCAAATGTGGATTCTGGTCCATATACTTCCACATCTGGGCAGATTCCAGCTGCCATCCTCTGGTATTGACACACAGCTGGAAGGTTTTCTGTGTGAGCGCCAGAACTGGTCCAGATGTGGAGGTAACATCTGACCATCAGGCCGTGTCCGGGCCAGACTTGGGCCGTTAACAGTGGCCCTGAAGCTCAGCACACTGCAGCTTCAGGAAACACATGAGCTGCAGAGACTCAACACACAGGAAATGTTTCCAGGGGACACTAAACAGTGACGGACCAGGCTGGGATACTTGCTGTTCAAAGCTTTGAGACTATTGAAATTGAAGATTACTATAACACATCCATGTGAGTGCCTTCCAGCCTGGTCCATCACTGTTTAGTGTCCCCTGGAAACACTTCCTGTGTGTTGAGTCTCTGCAGCTCATGTGTTTCCTGAAGCTGCAGTGTGTTGAGCTTCAGGGCCACCGTAGGCCGGGGGACCCGGCGGACTCTGGACCAGAAGAAGACAAGCCTGTGGCCCGAGTCTTGGCCAGATTAGTTTTGCTGACTCATGATCAGCTGATCAAACCCACACAGGTGCAGGTGTGTTGTTTCCTGGTTCATGGTCCTGAGACCTGGACCAGATGTGGGTCTGTGTATAATCCGGTCTACAGTCTGTTGTGGTTCTGTTGTCTTCCTCCAGTCTCGCCGTCCGTCCTTCTGTCCCATCAACGAGAAGCCGGACAAAGAGAGCGGCGAGGAGGCGGGGCAAACGGCCGTGGTGTTCTCTCTGAAGAATGAGGTCGGCTGTTTGGTCAAAGCCCTGAGGCTGTTCCAGGTGAGACTGATCCACATCCAGAACCAGATCCTGATCCACATTCAGATTCAGATCCACATTCAGAACCAGATCCACATTCAGACCCTGATCCCCATTCAGGTCAAGATCCTGATCCAGATCCACATTCAGATCCTCTCCTCTCCTCCTGCCCCCCCCCCCCCCCCCCCCCCCCCCCCCCCCCCAGGAGAAGCGAGTGAACCTGAACCACATCGAGTCCAGGATATCGAAGCGGGTCTCCAATGAGGTGGAGATCTTCGCCGACTGCAGCTGCAGTAAGAAGGAGTTCAACGAGCTGCTGCAGCACCTCAGAGACCATGTCAACATCATCTCCTTCAACACACCTGCACACGTGTGGTCCGCCGAGGCAGGTAGGGACACCTGCACACCCCCCCCCCAGGTCTGGACTCTGGAGGAGGAGCTGTGATCAGGTGGATGTTTAACAGGAAACAAAGCACAGTGTGTTGTTTTGTCAGATGGAGACGACGTCCCCTGGTTCCCCATGAAGATCTCAGAGCTGGACCAGTGTTCTCACAGAGTCCTGATGTACGGGTCGGAGCTGGACGCCGACCATCCTGTAAGTCTCATTTAAACCTGAAAGCTGCTGCACTTCACCTCCTTTCCACCAGACAGATCCAACAGGTGAATCCTTCATGGTCCAACATATCCCAAGATGCATTGTGCTCCAGTAATGAAAGCAAACACAAGTGTCAGTACTGTGTTTCAGTTCAGCAGCTCACGGTTCAACTGTTGAAAATAAAGAGACTGAAAACTAAAAGTTACTGTGAGGAAAAATTCTGTTTTGTCAAGGTTGCTAGGCAACAGAAGCTGTGTTTTGCAACACAGTGGTTCCAGGGACAGTCCTTGTTTTTGGTGGCCTGTCCCCAGAAATCAGTTCATTTAAATATTTGTAATTAAAAACAGACATCTAGCGTTGTGCTTGTTTTGGCCAACAGAGGGGGGTAGCTGCTAGCTATAGCAGCTTCAGAAGTGAAGCTAAAATCAGAGAGAGTTATCCAATCAGATTTTTCTTTTTTTTGTTTTCACCAGGCAGAGAAAAGGTTAGCTGACTCACTCATTGGTTAGGAGTTTATAACCAGGGAGTAAACTAACACACACAAACATTCTTCAAACAAGCTTCACGGCTGCTTCAAAGGTAGGGAAACGTCATTTTACCGTGGTCAAAAGACACGGCTGTCCCCCTTCTTATTTTATAGGTAAAAACAATTGGATATTTTAATGATTTATTGATGATTGAACTGGAAATGTCGTCGGTTTTTATTTCAGAAATCTGGTCACCTTCGTTCAGGAACGTTAAATTAGTTGCTCATGGACATTCAGTTTACTTTCTAGTTTACCAAGACATGTTGTTGGTGTGATGTTAGCTACAGTAGCAGCAGAGCTGTGAGTCTGTCTGCTGGTATGTTGACTCTGGGAAACTGTCCCGTCCTCTTTGTGCATGTTAGCTTAGCAGCAGTTAGCTGTCTCATTGTTTGCTCTGTATCATGTTATTTATCTGTTCGACATGAAAAAGGTTTTAAAGCCACAAAGACCTAAATACACCAGTTTACTAGTGCGCTGAAATACAGTGGATTTATATGGCTGGATGCATAAATAGAAATGCTACGCTAGGTGATGTTAGCTCCCTTGTTAGCTTAGTCTTAGTCTTCTCTTCTGTCACTGTCGTTTTAAACAAACTAAACAACTAACTCTTTTTACTTCGCTGTGTTTGTATAAGACGGTGTGGAGTCCACCATGGTGTCGTTGCCAGGCCAATGCACACCCATGAATTTGGGGGCGGGGCTTCTGAAGGAGCACTGAAGGGATGGGCGTAGCTGTGTGGCTGTTGAGTTCAAATATCTCCTGAATGACTTCTTTCACCTTTAAATGTGAATCTATGTGAACACAACAGAGCTCTGATGATGAAATACAGATGTTAACAGTCACCAGATGTTGCTGTGATGCAATTTTGTTGTTTAATTAATTAAACCCTAATTAATCCCTAAAAGTTAATAAAGAAATGCATCATGTGAAGACTCACCTCTTCTCTCCTCTCAGGGCTTTAAAGACAATGTTTATCGTCAGAGGAGGAAATACTTTGTGGAAGTGGCCATGAATTATAAATTGTAAGTGTCATCATCTGTTTCCTGATCTTCATCTCTGTCTGGAGTAAAACTGATTCTCTTCCTGTTTCTAATCCCACCTCAAATCCCTCAAACCTAACCCTAACCCCACTCTATTTAACTCCCACCAGCGATTAATCACATATATTTATGTAATTATATTTATTCTAATTTATTTTGTATTCCATGTCTTCTTTTTACTGTATGTTGTACTGAGTACTGAGCCATAAATGAAATGTTTTATTATTATCATTAACATAATCATTATCATTATTATAGTAATGATAATGATGATAATAATAATAATAATAATAATAATGATAATGATAATGATAATAATGATAACAACAATGATGATGATAATAATAATAATAATGATAATAATAATGATAATGATAATGATAATGATAATGATAATACTGATAATAATGATAATAATAATAATGATAATAATGATAATAATAATAATAATAATAATAATAATAATGATAATGATAATGATAATGATAATAATGATAACAACAATGATGATGATAATAATAATAATAATGATAATGATAATAATAATGATAATGATAATGATAATGATAATACTGATAATAATCATAATAATAATAATAATGATAACGATAATAATGATAATATAATAATAGAATTGTCTGACTGGTGGTGATGATGCTGGTCCCATGATCCATCAGGTGAACCTGATATAAAACAGTTTCAGTGATATTCTGTCTCCACCCTCAGCGGACAGCCCATCCCTCGTATCGAGTACACCCCTGAGGAGGTGAGGACGTGGGGGGTGGTGTTCAGAGAGCTGACCAAGCTGTACCCCACCCATGCCTGCAGAGAATACCTGAAGAACCTGCCGCTGCTCACCAAGCACTGCGGCTACCGCGAGGACAACATCCCCCAGCTGGAGGACGTGTCCCTCTTCCTCAGAGGTTTGTCTCAGAGAGACTTTATTCATTAAATACACAAGAGAAGAAGACAGAGAATCACAGGTGGACAAACACACCTGAGACAGATCAGTCCATCAGAACATGTTCACACCAACAGCATCAGTCTGTGACTCTGGGAGTTACAGGTTCACCAGGACAGGCGAGCAGGACATCGTTAATGATGTCACCAACATCTGGGACTTAACGAGTGTGACGAGCTGTGAAGAAGATTCATGAGGCTTAATGAACAATTCATGTATTCATCTGTCCCACTCACTTTATTCTTTAACCTTTGATCGTGTGTGTGTGTGTGTGTGTGTGTGTGTGTGTGTGTGTGTGTCAGAGCGCTCTGGTTTCACAGTGCGTCCAGTAGCAGGTTACCTGTCTCCCAGAGACTTCCTGGCTGGTTTGGCCTACAGAGTGTTTAACTGCACTCAATACGTCCGCCACAGCACCGACCCGCTCTACACACCTGAGCCGTGAGTACACACACACACACACACACACACACACACACACACACACACACACACACACACACACACACACGTGTTTTTCCCATTAGCCACTTGAAATTTCAAAAGGCTGCCATTTTCCAAGATGGCCACCAGGAAACATACTTTACCAGAGTCAGCCCAGTATAAAATCATGTCATTTAATAGGCTAATAATCTGTTTTAGCAGCTGTTAAGAAAGTTTTTACACTGAACTAAATTTCTCCTTCTACATTGTGAAAGTGTTTGATGTGACACCAGGATCGTTCATGTGGGAAAACTGTGGGTGAATTTAATGCAGAAAATTAGAAATGTCAGCCATCTTGGAAATGGCAGCCATCTTGAATTTTTGAGTGGCTAACGTGTTTTATCGAAGTTTAGTTCTTGTCTCCACACTGAAAGATTTGTGCTGAAATTTGAAGCTACCTGCTGAGCTATCGCTGATAATGTGTCTGATGACCTGTTGTCATGGTTACAGGGACACGTGTCACGAGCTGCTGGGTCACGTGCCCCTGCTCGCCGACGCCAAGTTCGCTCAGTTCTCTCAGGAGATCGGCCTGGCGTCTCTGGGAGCGTCTGATGAGGACGTTCAGAAACTGGCCACGGTGAGACAGAGACAGGAAACACCTGCTGCAGGTGTGAGAGCGCCCTCTGCAGACCACTGTTATTATTACACCAGGGAAGAGCAGAGCTCATGATGCTCTTATTACTGGCCTGATGGTGGCGCCAGAGGAACGCTGCACACATGAAAACACTCACACTTTAACAGTGAAGACAAACACGTATTCTCATGTGTTCGATGTGAAAACACCAAACACACAGCTGCAGCTTAGATGATTTATACAGTGATTCACTCTGACACTGTATGATCACATGATTTTCACTGAGAACCAGATGTTTCCAGAGCAGCAGATGTTTAACATTTACCTGGGGTGAAAGTGAAAAACAAAAACCTTCTGATGAAACTGATGAAACTGAAATTCTCTCTGTGTTTCACAGTGTTACTTCTTCACTATTGAGTTCGGCCTCTGCAAACAGGACGGTCAGCTGAGAGCGTACGGAGCCGGACTACTGTCATCTATTGGAGAGCTGAGGGTAACACACACACACACACACACACACACACACACACACACACACACACACACACACACACACACACACACTAATATAAAAAATAGTGAAATGACTTATGATTATGATTCACAAATACTTTCATCTGAACAACAGTCAAAACAGATCCAGTTTATTATTATTATTATTATTATTATTATTATTATTATTATTATTATTATCACAAAGCAAAAGGTTTTATGTGGGAAAACAAAATTAAAACAGTTCCGATCTGTAATTAAATCAAATCCAGTAAATAATGTGAAATAGAAATAAATGGTATAAAATAATAAATAAACTTATTTAACATAATGCAACTGGAAAAATAAAACATTAATAAAAAGCTTTTTAAAAGCAGATGATTCTGATCTCAACCCTTAAATTTTCTGTCTGGTCGTTTTCACTTCCCGCCTGTTTTTTTCCCAGCATGCCCTGTCCGATCAGGCCTGTGTGAAGATGTTTGACCCGAGGACAACCTGTAACCAGGAGTGTCTCATCACCACCTTCCAGGAGGTTTACTTTGTCTCCGAGAGCTTCGAGGAGGCCAAGGAGAAGATGAGGTAAAACTCAGAGCGGGACACGTCGACACACACACACCTGTGCTCCGACACACACCTGCTCACACACACACCTGTCCTGGGCTCTGACACACACACACCTGTGCTCCGACACACACCTGCTCACACACCCCTGTCCTGTGCTCCGACACACACCTGCTCACACACACCTGTCCTGGGCTCCGACACACACACACACCTGCTCACACAGACAGAAGACACATTCAACATCTGCTGCTGCTCTTAATGAAAAAATTTTTTTTGTGGGAATGAAGTCATTTTTTTATGAGCTGAACTTTTTATGAATTAATCAAAACTGTTGCAACAAGTTGTTGCTACTGTCTCCAAGCTAATTAAAAAAACACTTAATCATAACTGAATTAGCAGTTAGCATGAGTCAGTTAGCACGTGATGTTCTGTCATGGCCGACGGGGCGGAGACGGTCATTGTAGCTATAGACAAAATATGAAGCGAATCTTCCTCACAGCAGAAAAGATGAACATCTGATCACATAAGAAAATACCAACAAGTTATTTTGTGAATCATGTTTTCATGGTCGTATCATGAATCTCCCTGTTCTGTTCATAATGAGCAATAAAACAGAAAATGTGTCTATTCTGACTCGAGGAAGGTTCTATGTTCTACGCAAAACAAACCTCAAGAACTGTTCTTTCATGAATAAATAAATAAATAAAAAATTCTATATTATTGTTAAACGATGCATATTTTCAAAAATATTCTTCTTATTTAGACGAAAATCAAAAATGAATCAGTGAAATTGAATGTATTTCTATTGTTTTTGTTCTTGTTGTTCTTCCTTCTATTTTCTCAAATTGTTCAAGCAGCAAAAACACGAGAGAAAAACACAAACATCTGTTCATCTGATTTTTAATGTGCTGTCCACAGCTGCAGCCTCTCCTTCTTCCATTCAAGTAAATAAAGTGAATGACCAGTCACACGTGATCATGTTTAAACAGCGTGGCTCAATGTGCTCGACATTTATCTGAGAGCTCTCCTCTTCATGTGCTGAGGTTTATGTCAGATCAGCTGAGGGTGAAGCTGCTGCTGTTTCCTGTTCTCTCTCAGGGAGTTTGCGAAGACGATCAAGCGTCCGTTCTCCGTGTACTACAACCCGTACACTCAGAGCATCGACCTGCTCAAAGACACGCGCAGCATCGAGAACGTGGTGCAGGACCTGCGCAGTGACCTCACCACCGTCTGCGATGCTCTGGGCAAGATGAACACCTACATGGGGATCTGAGGCCGACGCCCACCTCACCGCTGAGCTCTGATTGGCTCAGCACGTCAGCAACACCAACGCTTCTGCAGAACGTCACCTGTGTTCATGTTGCTTCTCTGACCTGTAGCTGAAACTGTTTCACCCTCCAGTAAAATAAAACGTGACCAGCTGAGCCCAAACTGGAAAGACTGGTTCCTGTTTCATTAATCCACAGATTATTTCTGCCTTTATCAGTTAAAAGTGGAAAATTATCATATAAAGATTCAGTGAAGAGACAGAACATTGGACATGTCCTCGTCCAGTGAAGTAACAGCTGCAGACACTTTATCTTTCAGAACGATAACACGCTCACAAACTTCAATTATTGATCTGAATGATGAAATGAATGAAAGTTTAATTCTGACCTTTATTTAATCACTGAGATCAGGACTGACCTGAGACCAGCAGAGTCTTTATTTCCTGTGGACTGAACTGACGTCAGTTACTTCTCACGTGAAGCAGACGGACTGTGACGATGATGAAACATCAGAACCAGGAGTAAAAGTGACGCATTAAAAACATTCAGTGTGTTGTTGCTTGACATTCCTTTGTCTTCTTTTGTTTTTCTTCATCACATCTATTTACTGCTGTGCAGCCTCACATCTGGACACACACACAGCTGGAAACTATGGTGGCCCTGAGAGCTCAACACACTGAAGCTTCAGAAAACATCTTCATCTTCAAATACTCACAACGCAACAGAAGTGTTCCCAGGGGACAATAAAAAGTGACGGACCCGAAGGCTAAGCTAACGGCACATTTTTGCAATAATAGTTCATGTTCAGTTTGTCATCTGTAGGTTTCACAAGGTGGTATGTATTGGACAAGAATCAACTCAGCAATAAAAACTAGAATAATACAATAGAATAAATACACTTAAAATTAGATTAGAACTTATTATTGTAAACATGCAACGGGATATTGACATTATAATAAACCAAACACCTTTAGCTCATTCTCCAACAGCGCTAACATAATGCTAATATAACTTCACAAGTCAGGAAGCTTTGAACAAGTGTGCTTGAACCAGGTCCGTCACTTTTTAGTGTCCCCTAGAAACACTTCCTGTTGTGTTGTGAATATTTGCAGCTCATGCGTCTAACTGATGAAGATGTTTGTGTTTTGTTAAGCTGCAGTGCTTTGACCTCTCAGGGCCACCGTAGGAAACACTCGTTTAAAGATTCTCTGTTGTTGGACATGCAAACACTGACTGCTGTTTCAGCTGGTGGTAATGAGGCGGGAAAGCTGGGGTTAATTAAGACTAATTAGCTGCACAGGTCGTCTGTGCACCAGCTACTGATATCATAAAACCCCGTCACAGTAAAACAGACCTTCTCCAGCAGGAGCAGGAGTCAGTGATAACATGAGGGATCACACCGCCTCTCTGTCACACTGGTCACAGTTTTACACAAACATGAAGAAACGAGTGAAAAAGAAACTGGACGACAAGTTTTCCACCTCTGGAGTAAATGGAGGTTTTTTCTCGTAGGTCTGAGCAGCTCAGTCGACAGCAAACACTTCATCCTGGACGGGACAGAGCAGATTATTAAAAACCTGGTCATTTATGTTTACTTATCAAAATAGATTCATCCATTTAAACAGATTCAACTAATCTAACTCGCTTAACAAACACAGAGGTGACGACCTCATTGTCCTCAGTGGCAGTCGCTAAGGTCTGGTAGTCTCCCTCTGACTCATCTACAGTCACTCACCCAGCCTCCGTGCTGCTGGACCCAGGCGGCGTGGTGCTGCTGGATGTATCTGTTTCCAAAGCTCAGCACTCTCCTCCGCTGGACGATGCCCACGGCCGACAGCCTGCTGGTCACCTCAAAGGCCCAGGCGATGTTCTGCTGCTGGATACGCTCCTCGGACGCCGCGGCCCGGCCCGGCCGGTTCACCAGGTTTTGCACACTATAGGTGAGCTTCTCAAACAGGTCGTAGTTCATGTTACAGAGCTGCTGCTGGAGGACTGGGCTCTGCTGGATCTGAGCAGAGACAGAAACACAGAGTCTGTAATGATGAGCTGGACTCATGTTCACTGTTCATCCAGTTATTATAACACACACCTTCTTATCAATGTCGTCTCCAAACGTCATCATCAGGGCCACCAGCTTCTGGATGATTTCTGCAGCAGAAGAGACACACATCTCAGGAGTCGTTACATATGTGACATTGTATATTGCTAATGAAATGACAAGCTAACACTGGAAATGACGCCGTGCTATCAGCTAGCTAACATTAGTTAGCTCAACTGTAACTTAAGGCTAAAGTTAGAAACTAGCTAATATTAGCTAAACTGTAACTTAAGGCTAAGGTTAGGAACTAACTTTTTACCTTTTTCTCTACCAAGTCTTAATCAGGGGGGTCATCTCCCCCAATCTCCCCCATAATTCGAACCCTGACATAAGTACTCAGGAGCCATTTTCAGCTTCTGTTAGTATGGATGGTACACCCTGTTTTATAAATGAGGCGGTGTTTGTCGACCAGGAAGCGGATCAGAACCGTCTCTATATAAAACACCTGTACCTGTAGCTCGGTGCATCATGGTGGACTGTATCAGAGACTCACCATCTTGGCTTTCCACGTACACTTCAGGGACCAGTGCTGATTCAGTGATCTGCACCAGCTGCTCCACCGCTGCACTTCTGGTTTGAGACGCGTCTGTAGACACACACACACACACACACACACACACACACACACACACACACCTGAATGTGTTTCCTGATTAAATGATCAATGTGGTAAAGCTCTTGCTGTAATAAAACTTCCTCACCATGTTTTTCCTCAGCGCTGTCGGCCTCCCACCCCCCCTGGTAACTGGTGAATCCTTTTCGAGCTTGAACTTTCAGGACGGTGGAGAAGAAGGAGGGTGCTGTGTTGTCACCTAGTTTACAGAGCAGACATGAAGACTGGATGGAGATCTCCACACTGTCACAGCATCCATCAAGTCTCCACGGCAACGCATTCACTCAACATGCATAAGAAAAACGCAGTGATTGTGCTACACAGACAACAGCTAGTGATGGGATCATAGCCGCCATGACGCCCGTGGACGCTGTGACCCATCAGTTCTCAGTAGTCACTCACCTCCACCCTCCAGACGTGCTGCGCCCCCCCCTGACATCAGCTGTGGCCTCCGCTGTGACCTTCCTCTTGACCTCTGCCATGACCTCTTGAAGCAGTACTCCTCAAGCAGCAGGAGCACTTCACTGTCTTCACCTGCAGCCGAGCCGCTCGCCATCTTCACCTGCTGGACCACAGACCGGACCGGACTTGACCGGACCAGACCAGACCAGAATCAGTACCAGACCAGAATCAGTACCAGACCAGAATCAGTACCAGACCAGAATCAGTACTCTGACCGTTGGTATGTAACGTACATTCTGATGCTAACACTTCAGTAAATATTTAAATACATGATTGTTAGTTGGAACACAGTATTTCTACACTAGTTTAAAGTAAATAAAATACTTCCTCATTAACCAACCCCCCCCCCCCCCCCCCCCACAGTGACCCCGACCTTCCCGCCTTTCAGCAACCTGACTCCGCCTCACCTGTTCCCTATTCTCTAATCCGCTCTGAGTATTTAGACCAGTCCCTCCCACATCGTCTATCTTACTGCTCAAAGATGAACTGATTAGAATTTGGTGGTCAAAGGTCAAAGGTCACTGTGACCTCACAAGACACGTTTTTGTTCATAACTCACAAATTCATTCACTAATTTATGACACAATTAAACTCAATTTAATGCCTATATGGATACAATGAAGTGATGACGTTTTATATCCAAAAAAGGTCAAAGGTCAACTTCCCTAAAATGCTCCTGGTCATTATTCAACTGTGTAACTCAGGAACTAGACCGTGACCATACTTCCTGTGATTGGCTGGTTGATGGAGGAAACAACCAGGAGCTGATTGTGGTTTATTCGCCGATGAAACGTGATTTTGATCAATCTGATCTTCTTTATTTACTTGAGCGAGAGAGTTAATGATTGACTAATGATTATTGATTCAACTTTTCATCTGTTACAGTGAGGAAGTGAAACAGACTCAGTTTAAAGCAGAGAACACGTTCTGTATTTTAAACACGGGTGACCTGTTGCTGTTTAATGTTCCGTCTGTTTACTTTGTGTAAACACTGATGACTCTTACTTTGGCGCCTTTTACTTTCACTTTACTTCGGTGTGAATGACGTGAACAGACAGACAGTGAACGTCACACAGCAGCACCGACGACTAACGGCGCCTCTGCTCTGACCGTTAACCTCCGACCGTTAAAACGTCAGCACCGGGTAAATCGACACCGGGACGTGAAACGTACCTTGAGTCGCGGCAGCTGCTTCCGGCTCAGCTCTCGGACCAGATGCAGAACTAAAGGCGCCAAACGAGGAAGACAGGGACCCGGTCTGTATCTGCGCTTCAAACTCACCCGGGAACCGTGCTCGTGCTCGTGCACCTGCTGCGGCTCCGCTTCCTGGAGCTCAGTGCTGACCCAGGGGCGGACTCACCGCTGTGGGGGCCCTGGGTCAAACCCCCCCCCCCCCCCAGTACTCAGTTGATCCTGGTCTCATTTTGTGTTTATTAAAAAAAAAATCCCAATTCAACTCCGAAATTTTCCCCTTTTCTCTTAGAACTAAATCGGTTTGATAAACAACAAAAAAGTAATAAGCTTTTGACAAAATAAAATCTTTTTCCCTGTTACCTCCATTTATTTATGTATTTATCTATATACCTGTGGGAGCCAAATATTGTTTTGATCGGTTATTCTGTGTTTGATTAGTTTTGTCTTGTTGTCATGGGGATGTGCGGTGTTTGGGGTCACATGAGCACCGTCGTTGATAGCCGGTAGGTTATATAAGAACCTGCTTCACCTGCACAGGGGGGAGTGAGGCGGTTCTTGGTAGCCGTAATTTTTGTTGACCGCTTTTCATCATCGCTTTGTTCTTTTGTTTGTTTTGATACACGTTCGCCAAGTGAACAGATTTAACATCCGATGGGCGCGTGAAAAGCCGCTGTAGCATCCGATCGTGTTATTAAAAACATCCGAAATATTATCTGGACTCAGTGTGCTTCTATGGAACAGCAGCAGCGTGTCACAAATATACAGGACCTATTCTGCCTCACAAGCGACTTTTAAGGTTCTAGAAAGCTGCAATAATACCCATGCATTATTTTTTATTTATTTACTTTTTCTTCAAAAAATTTTATTTCTTATTATTTACTTTTTCATTCATTTTATTAATTTCACCTGTAGCCTACATATATGATTTTTGTTAGCTTTTAACTAAGAAGTGGTTGAATGCTAACGTTAGCTGTAGCTAATAGGTTATCAAATATGCTGTTTTACTTTGAAATATGGGTTGATGTCCCTTCGGATTTTCATTATCCATCGTCTTTTCTGTTCCTCATTGATCAGGAAACGTCAAATATAAACGATCCATCAGAATGTCTGTTTATATGATGTGTAACCTGGAACACAGCAGTTCAACACTGTCCTTTCGGTGACAGCATTTGAGTGTGATGTCAGAGGAAAATGGCTGCTGTGTGAATATGGTCTTTTGGGTGTTAAGTATTGGTGTGTTAGAGTACACAGTACTGGGGAGGGTGTTTGATTTGTTACGGTCCAATGACACAGGTAGGGAGATGTTTGCTCTGGTTTACACATGTAAAAGTAAAAGATGTATTATTACATATTCACTGCAAGTGCCAAAAGTAAAATGAAGTAAAACTGCTTTAAATTAAAACAAAAAAAAAATTCAGATCTTCAGAATTAAATCACAGAAAAATCCAGAGAAGGAAGAAAAAGACACTGAAATTCAAAGATGTCTGCTGCTTTATTTACTGATGAGTCCCGTCTGATCACCTCTGTACTCGGCTGTAGTTACAGTTACATGGTCAGTTTTCAGACTGTAGATACTGTGATGTTGTAGCTGTGGACTCTAATATGAAAAGCTGTTTCTCATATAGTTTTTATTCTTGAACTAAATTAATGAAATTGTTTTATCTGTAACTTCACTGTGTAAATAACGAATGTGCCGGAGCCACTGTTCAATGTATTATTCTACAAATCATCCAAGTTAATCTATCCTCTGTTCACCACTTGATTCTTACTGTGACACAATAAGTGATGGTTTTAGTGGGTGAGTCCGGCTCACAGTGCCGTGGTGCTGCTCTTTGTTTCGCCAGAGAAGGAGGTGAAACTCAGCAGCTCTCAGGTAAGTAGAGTGTAAATGTAAACTGTCAGAAACTGTCAGGTGTTCATCCACATGTGAAGCTCTCCTGGACACATTTGCATGCTGCACACTGTTTCACTATCGCAGAAACAAAGAGTTTTTCCTCTCCTAACACTCAGACTAACATCTCTGCATGCAAACATCCTGAGGGAGTGGGAGTGTCCGCTGCCTCTGTCTGTCAGGTGAAGGATGAGCAGCGCCACAGACACTCTTCACAGCACAGAGTCGACATCCATCTTCCTCCTCAAGGTCAGTTCATACTCCACTTCCTGGACCTCTGTCTCAGTTTACAACCATAGTCTGGTTCACCTCATTAGGATTTGTACATAAAAATGAAATTCTTTAAATATACAGTGTGAGAGTAAAGGAGTGCTTCTACATCATCTGCATTAAATATTACCTGCGAATAAAATATAGTTACAGGTGCTTTTCAATCTCAAACAAGTCAATAAGAAATTGTGATGGAGCTGAGCTTCATATAATAATGATGAAATAACAAAAAGAGGAAAACATCATTAGAAATGTGTGAATCTTAATGCATCAATGTTCAGTGTCCTTGATGTTTGACATGTGCAGTGTGACGTCCTGGACTCGGAGGTTGTGGACAGACTGTAAGAAAATGGGCCCCTGAGCACAGACAGCTATGTCGAGCTCTGTCACAAAAAAACATGACACGTGACATCATAGTTAGGTTTTGTTGCTAGGAAACATCTAGTGGCCATAGTAATGATGACAGGAGCGAAGGGAAAAATGTCGGTGATGCAGTATAAAGAGAGACAGAGTCAGGAGGAGGTGGATGAATGAATGCGACACAGGAGAGCGGTGTTCAATTCCCATGTTGTTTCTATTATCCACGACCGTTCGTTGTTATTATTGTAACCATGACAATGCCTCTGTGACGTCACCCACAGGTTTCTGAAGCTCAGTGTGAGCTGCTACACCGTTATCATCTTGGCGGTGTCTGACTCCACCCCCTAACTCCCAGCTAATCCAAATATGGTCAAAGAGGAGGGGCTTGTGTGGAGCTGAGAGGTTTATGACACCTGTCACTCAAAGAGGCCACGCCCTCAATGCTCCATAACTTTAATCCTTAATAAAATGTAAACAGGTGAGATATATAAACAGGTGAGTTCTATAAACAGGTGTCATGAAGGAGGAAATTCGTTTCTGTACCAGGCTGTAAACATGTTTATTTCTGCTGTAAAGTTGGACATTTTAACATGGGAGTCTATGGGGACTGACTCACTGTTGGAGCCAGACTCTAGTGGTCGTTAGAGGAACTGCAGCTTCTGGATCTTTAACCTCGGAGGTTGATGCTTGGTCGAATCAGAGGGTTGAAAAAACGACCTGTGTGGTTGTTCAGGTTGGAGGACTGGTTGGTCACTGGCTCAGGGGCCCGTTCAGTGATCCATTCAGAAATGATCACTTACGTTAATGAATCTTTCTTTGTTCCAGGAGACACATCACGATGGTGAACTTCAGCACATCTTACTTCACATTGTCTGGCAATGAAAGCAACAACAGCTACTATTACTATTATGATTATTTTGATTATTTTGAGGACGATGTTATAAATTTGGTGACGAAGTGTCACGTCAAGGCCGGTAGATTCGACTGGTTAGGAGTGAAGATCTTCATCCTGGTGACGGCATTGCCCGCGAACGCAGCTCTGATGTGGACGCTGCTGAGCAGGTGGGGAAACATGACGCCGTCCGAGCTGCTGGGAGTCAACGTGTCCGTCCTGAACGTCCTGTACTGCCTGTCTCTGCCTCTGGACATCTACATCGCCCTCCACAAGAGCTCCAACACCACCCACTCCGTCCACGAAGCCCTGTTCTCCCTCAACATCTTCGGCTGCCCGCTGCTGCTGACATTCATGTGTGTAGAGCGTTTCGTGGCGACGGCGTGGCCCATCACCTACATCATTCTGCAGAGGAGGAAGCACCGCGTGGTGCTGTGTGCTGGTGCCTGGACTCTGACCTTCATCGTGGCGCTGTTGGAATATTTCCTCTCGGGGTCGATCATGGCTCTGTGCCTGTCCATCGTCATCTCCGTGCTGTTCCTGGTCATGCTGCTGTGTCTGCTGGGCATCATGGCGGTGCTGTGTCAGAAGGGGCCGGCTGACGGCTCGGGGTTAAGTGTGCCGCTGAAGAGACGAGCTCTGAAGAACATCCTGGCCGTCATGGTTCCCTCCGTCGTGGCGTATTCTCCTCTGGTGGCTCTGATTCCTTACATGTCTGCGATCATTCGGCCACAAGGCATCCAGTCCGCTCAGTGCACCATCCTCCATCTCCTGCTGCTCTTCCCAAACTTCGGCTTGTTCATCGGCCCCACCTTCTACCTGTCCCGGGTCACACAGGTGACCTGCTACAGGGAAGACCAGCAAACCACAAACTCCAGGACACAGGCAGAGTAGATCAAAATATCTTTTGGGATGATTCACCTCATTCACCTGCTCAGCTCTAAATCAAACATGCAAATCACTTGCTGTCCGACACAATGAGCATCATGTGACTGTTTTAGCTGGAAGCCAAATTGGCAGCAGCACAGAAACGATTTCATCATCCAATGAAATATATTTGTTTATCATCTCAGCGACCTGAACACGCTCCATACCTTTACCTGAGGATGATTCCAGCTCCGACACTCAGACACTTCAGACCTTTATTAACACATTTATCCAGGAACAGGTTTCTGTCATCAGCTCAGATCTGAAGTCAGATCTAATATTTCTGTGACCTCCACTCGTCCGTCCTCCATCAGCTGCTCCACCAGCCGAGGTCGAGTCAGCCGCCTCCACAGGCGCTGCTTCAGCTCCAGGACCTGAGAGATGTAGTCCTTCAAACAAGACCACATGAGACCACATGAGACCACATGAGAACACATCAGACTCAGCAGACCACATCAGACCCATCAGACCAAAAGAAACCACATGAGACCACATGAGATCACATGAGTACACATCAGACTCATCAGCCCCCATCACACCACATCAGACTCATCAGCCCCCATCACACCACATCAGACTCATCAGCCCCCATCACACCACATCAGACTCATCAGCCCCCATCACACCACATCAGACTCATCAGCCCACATCAGACTCATCAGACCACATGAGACCACATGAGAACACATCAGACTCATCAGACCACATGAGACCACATCAGACTCATCAGACCACATGAGA